CATATGTCAAGATACTGGAATTCTGATTTTGAATTCCAACACATTAACCATCACACCCAGATATCTGAGGCTTATAGAAGAGATAAGCATGTGCAATATGTGCTCGCTCAAGAGTCTAGTAAAATTACTGAACAGGTTAGCTCTGAGGACAGTGATCCTTCTAGTTATGCATGGTCCATTAATCCACACTTGAGTGTATTGCTGCTCAATTAAGAAAGGAGGCACCCAAATGTCCTTTCAGCCCACATGTGTCTTTTGTTTAACAGAGTGATCATGAAAGTACTTTCCAAGTAACTCACTATAGTGAAGAAATACTGTGTCTGCTATATTCGTCTGAGCTTCTGGTCTAACCATTCAGTCATGAAGGAAAATGATATAACTTTGATAAGATTGTTGTGAATGAATGCAAGCTGGCTGATATTAACCATTACTTCCTTTCCTAAGAGTTCATAAACCACCTGTTAAATAATTAATTAAGACTTTCACTAGGGAGTCACATCTAGCCCATCATCATAATTTCCATAATGTACCCTTTTCCCATTAAAACATAAGTATTAGTGCAAAAATTATGTATAAATATAATATTCTCAGTTGATAATTGGGGCAAGAGACTGCAGTGTTATACTTAGCAAGAAAGAGCAACATAGGCAACAGAAACAAAAAAACAAAGGGCATATTCAGTGAATGGCAAGGGCTCAGCATGAAGGAGCAGAGAGTTCTTGAATGGTATGATAAGAGTTAGGTTAGAAATGAAGGTTGTGGGTTGATCATGCGAGATGGTTACTGGGACCCTCTTGATGTATTTGAACTTTACAAGTGTGAATCCTGACTCAGGGAACTAGAAGAGGGAACCAAAATAAGGTGGCAGATGCTAGTGATATTTTTATGAAATAAAAAGATTAAAAGCTTTGATTCAGGGTATATAAAAGAAATGATTATAATATTTTGAGTATTTCTGGCTCAAAATATATTCACGGTGTTTACTAACTTACCACTTGTCATTTACCAGAGAAAGTAGAAATTAATTCAATTAGAAGTGGGAGAGAGGTAATGTGTACAGATCTGGACACATGGGTCCATGATAGGGCATGAAACATGGACATGAAAACCTGAAGTCCATCAGAGAGGACAGGACTAGAAATGTAGATCCTGAGAGTCCTCCCAGACTAGGGAGTGAAAGCTCAGCTAGAAGCTCCACTGTTTTGCCCAATTATAGGGAGCACCATTCCCATAGAATTATATAGTGTGCACAATCCTCCCAGGAGTAGCTGTACTGACTGGCAGTATAAACACTTGTTGAGATTGTAGTATAATATCATCATAACTGTGTCTAGTAGTAAGAATAACTTTGTTCCTTTCTTTGCTTCACACATACCTTTAAAAGTCCTTCTTAATGTCTTCAGCCTTTTTTATTTTGTACGCCTGAGTTTTATCTAGAACTTTATTGACAGAACTTATTGACAATACTGTCAATACATATTCACACTGTATTGACAGTATTCATGTAGACTCACACTGGTGGATGTTCTTCCTTCCATATTTTGTTCACAACTGCTTCACAAATGAGCAAAATAAAGAGCTCCCTGTGCATTTACATTAGCCTGTCTCTTTCCTACTGAGATCATTTGTAACTGTATTATATGAAGGTTTCCCATCATCCTTGGCATAAATTGCTAATTTCTTTTCTGTGATGTCTCCTTTGAGTTCCACGTCATAAAGTCTTAATGATACGTGCTAAGCCATACTTAGCACTAAGAAATCAGGTCCATGTGGTTATGCCCCATGTTCCCCAGTGATTCAGCTGAGGTCTTAATGACACCCTACATCCCTTCTCTGCTACTTTCTCGTGATTTACTACACCCTTCCCCTCTAAATTCTGATCTTCACGTGCTTTTACTGTGTTCTTTAAAGTTTATCTCTGAATTTTCACCCCCTTGACCAAGATCTTACACTTTTATTGCAAAGTTTCTTGGTCCTTGAGATCACCTAACAAATATTTAAGCTCGTATGTTTGTACCTTCTGGCCTTTTGCTACTTCCTCCCAGCAGCTGCCTCTCTCTGACAAGTCTTCTGGGCTTCCTCTCAGGCTCCTAGCCAACCTACTGGAAATTCCTTTTTGGACCACAGGAACCACACCAGAGATTTGGAGTGGGGGAATCCCTGCTTCTACCAGTCGGCAGGCAAAGCGGAAGGGAAATTCCTCAATCAGAACATGAAACTCAGAACCAGAAAATGCTAGATTAATTCTCAGTGCTCTCATGTATCAGCTTTGTCATACAAAGAAAAACCACTCAAATTCTAGAACCTCTGTTTTCTCATCTGTAAAATGGAAGAAAGAGAATCCATAAAAAACAAGACAGATAATCCTTTGTACGATCATATGCAGTAATATATGAGAAAGAATTTTGTAATCTATATAAGATAACAGACTCTTATTATTTTATTTTTTTGTTTATCTCTTTTCTTTCAACTATGATGGTAAGAGATATGCTCCTAGCACTCTCAGTTGGAAATTGGAAGCTTATGTACCATAGGACATTATTATATGTGGAGCGCAGGGGCTACATGATTACTGGCACAGCGGTAATCATTCAACAGATATCTATTGAGTCTGTACTATGTCCTAGCCCATGCTGACACAAAGGTGACTATGCCAGTCTTCACTTAAGCTTACAAGAATTTCCATACCAGCTGTCAGTCATTTCTCTAAAATGTCTGATCATGTGACTCTCCTGCTCGAAAACCTTTTTTTTCCAATTATACATTCATGTAATCATTCATCATTTTCAAAGAGCTTACTATTGCTGTCCCACTTGATAAATATTGGAGACACAAAAGTCAAACACATCTTTGGTCATCAGCCCTTTCACCTTGGCCTTGCTTCCTGACTACATGCTTTGCTGCAAATATTCCTAAAATGGTCCTTCCTTTCAATCAATTGATTCCTACATATTTTTCAAGGCTCTGCTTAGCCATAAGGGAGCATCCCTGCATCGTGTGAGCTGAGATAGGGCCACCTGCATGCTCCTTGCTCACTCTGTGCATGGTACCATAGGACGGCTTACTACTCAGGGCCTGCATTCTTAGACTGAAAGCTTGCTGAGAGAAGGGACCCATGTTTATTCCTCTCTGTGTGTCTGGGACCAGCTAGATGCCTTGGCACCAAGGCTGCTCTCAATAACCATGGGGAAGGAGATACATAAACACATAATTACTACTAAAGGGCTATATGCACAATAATGGTTTGTGCTCACTACTCTGGGAGCTTGACATGACCAATTCTGCTGGGAGATGCATGATGACTTATCACCTTAGGAGCTACTTTTGGAGTTGGAGCTGTAGACTGAGCAGCAGCCTACCCAGTGGGAAAAACGTGGTGGGAGACATTTGCAAGTTGAGGGATCAGGAAAGAACTTGGTTATTTAGGGAATGGCAAGTGGGTAGATGGGCAGTACCAGGAAAGGAGACCAGGAAGGACTGGCAAGACCAGACCATAAAGAATTTTAGAATTTCTTCAAAAGATATCAGGGAGCCACTGATAGATTCTAAGTGCAGGAGAGATAGATCAATAATTACATTGAGTTCTTCCTTAACTTCAGGTCCACTGTGAGCTAAATAATTGTTTCTCAGTCTTTAGTCATTTTTTGTACTATTTATGTGTACCTTTATTGACAGGGGCAATCTGTCAATTTCCAGAAAAAATAATACATATATACCACCATAACTTTGCTTTTCTCTCCTTTTATTTCATCATATTATGGGGTAAAAATATGTTAGGTTACATATATTGCCCCTGCCCCATCCCCCCCGTGCCAGAGCTTCAAGTGTGTCCAACCCCAGGTGGTGCGCACAGCACCTGTTATGTAAGTATACACCCTTCCCCTCCTCCCCCCTCCCACTTGCCCACCACCCGATAAAAGTGTTTGGTTTTTTTTTTGACATTTTTGTTACATTCTATATCTTTGCCTCTCCGTAAGAAAGGTTAGAGGTATTCCCTTCCTCTCCACAATGCTCGCCACATCCCTAAGATGTGGGTCTCCCCCACCCCCGAATCCCTGGTGTACACTACCACCATTTGAGCACCATAGTTTTAGTCAGTCAGTACCAATTTGATGGCAAGTAGATGTGGAGCCCATTTTCCAGATCTTGTTTCGCCTCACTTTGGATAACGGGCTTAAGCTTAATCCAGGATAGCATAAACGGTGCTGGCTGACTGTCGTTTCTTAGAATTGAGTAATATTCCATTGTGAGCATATACCAAATTTTAATTATCCACTCATGAGTTGACGGGCACTTGGGTTGTTTACATGACCGAGTTTTTTTTTTTTAATTCATTTAGGTATCAGCCCTTAGAACACAACAAGCTTTCTAGAATATTCTCAGGGACCTGAGCCATGCTCTGAGAAATACTAGGCTAAGTAGCTCTTTGTGGGCTTATCAGGTTTGCCTCTCTTATTTCTACATATAATGTAATTGTGTTAGAAAATGCCCCTTGGCCGTTCATGGTGTCTCACTCTTATAGTCCTAGCACTTTGGGAGGCAGAGATAGGAGGATCACTTGAAGCCAGGTGTTTGATACCAGTCTGGGCAATATAGCAAAACCCTATGTCTACAAAAAATTTTTAAAAATTAGCTAGTTTGGTGGTGTGTGGCTGTAGTCCCAGCTACTTGAGAGGCTGAGGCAGGAGGATCACTTGAGTCCCGGAACTTGAGGTTGCTGTGAGCTATGGTGATGCCACTGCACTCTAGCCAGATGAAAGAGCAAGACCGTCTCTAGGAAAAAAAAGAAAATACCTCTTTTTTCATATAAGAATCTTACAAATATAGTTTTTTAATACAATTTCTTCATAGCTTATGGGATTCCCTTTTCTCAGACTTATTTTCCTCCTCCGTGGTTCAAGTTTGTAAAGTTTTTCTATAGGTAGGATTCATAAAATTTTTCTTCAATAAAAACTCTCTGGTTAAAGAAAGTTGTTTAATTTTCTTATCTTTTGGATTAGAATGGAAAACTTCTCTCTCAACAAAGGAGCAACCCAATGGTAGTGTTTGGAGTTTATGACTTTCACCAGGGTACATATGTATGTGATTACACCCAGTCGGATAACACAAGTTCATGGACAGTCAGAGCTGTTGTTCAAGTGAAAACCATTGGTAAGTGAGATTTTTGTCTCAAGATTTGAGATCTTAACCCCAATTGGCCAAATTAAGATTATCTTCCTTTGGCTTAGTTAAAAAAAAAAAAAAAAAAAGGATAGTCGTATATTTGCAGTCATGAAAAGCCTTGAATGTGGGCAAACATCAGTTTTCCCACTGACCCAGTTCCCATCCCCCAGGGAAGGCTTGGTTCTGAACCATGTTCAAGCTGTCACAGGTTGGGTTGTGCATGCATTGATCTCTGATTTGCTTTTGCAATAAATTAAAAATGCATTAAATATATTTCACACACAGAAATATTAAGTGACATCCATGTACCTATCACCAGGTTTAACCACGTTGATGTTTTTCCATGTGCTTAAAATCTCGTTTTTTGTCTGTTCCATAAAGAAACAAAACATTGCAGATGTAGCCGGAGGTCTATGCCCCATCCCTCCCCTTGCCCTTTCTGCACCAGTATAGTCACATCTTGTCGTTAAGGTCCTTCCCATTTGTGTATTTATGCTTTTTCTACATATGTATGTATCTATTCATAAAATATTGTTTTGTTATGGAATGTGTTTTGTGTCACAAGCACATGGCATCATACTGAGTTATCATTTTGCCAATTTACACCCTTATCAGTAACCAACAGATTCCTGTTATTCCCAAATGGTATTTGGTGTTATCAGACTTTTTGATTGGCATTACATGGGATTTCTTTTTTTTTTTTTCTCCCAATTTACACTGCCCTAATAATCGATTAAACGCCTTGTCATATGTCTATTGGAACATTGGATATTTCTCTCTGTGTCTTATCTATTTTTGCCCTTAGGTTGTTCTACAAGTATCAGCATGAATAAACTACATGATGTCATTAATTTATCCATGGCTTACAGAGTCAAAACATCACAAAGCCAGTCATTCATGCTTTGTATCAAAGACCTACAGAGTGGTTGACTTAGCTCTTAGTAAAGATACTAATCAATTTTATCTCCTCTTTTATTGTAACATACAAACCACATGGAGCACCGATGACCAAGTTAAACACCCCTGCCTACCTCCTGGCCCTGGCACCCTCTAGTACTTCAGATTGGGTTTATTTTATTTTATTTTAGATTTCATATATATTAGATTTCTCCTTGAAAGAGAAGTTAGATGTGAATCTGCCACTTGCACACTGCTTTCCCCTTCCAAGTGATGTGTAATTGTTCTTTTACTCAGCCATCACTCAGCCCTTCAGATTCTCAGTGGCATAATCTGCTTTTCTCTCCTTCAAAGGACACTTTGCCCCATCTATTGCATCTATTTTGATCAAGCCTTCTCTGTCATCATTCCTGTCTTCCTCATCAATGCATTCATTCTTACATTTATTCTTTCCCACACAAATATTTACTGTACATCTAATACGTGTCAGGCTTGGAGCTAAGGGTATAAGAACGGGCACCTGAGCTCTTTATCTGGCCTCTGAGAACTTACCATTTGGGGAGCAGACAGGTGGGAAGTAGGCTACCACAATACAGGGTGGCGACAGAAAGGGGAGCAGTGGGCATATGGGAGGCCCACCGGACCCATACCTGGGGAAGCCCACCCAGGCCAGGTGAGAAGAGCTAGCTCAGTGAAGGTGGACACTGCCATTCCAGGCGGAGGAAGCAGCACAGCTGCTGGGCAGTAGACGAAGGAGGACATGGTACACCCAGAAGGAGCAGGAAGGTCAGCTGAGGGGGAGGCTGTAGAAAGGGACTGACCTCACACTGTTCTAATAAGTTTGGATTTTATCCCAGGAACAATGGGGTGACACTGAGGGTTTCAAGTGGGAGAGTGTCGCAAAAGATTTGTATTTGAGGTAGATCATTCTGTCTGCTGTGCAGAAAGTGGATTTGAAGAGCAAGAATGGAGGCAGGGAGAGGAGTCAGCAGGTTGCTGAGGTCAAGTAGACAATTGCTGAGGGGACCTGAACTGGGGAGTGATGGAAGACGAGGTGAAGTTCGTAGGCAAATCTGAAGCATTGAGTGGTTGGGAGTGGGAAGAGGGAAGGAGGAACCAAGGGTGAGAGCCAGGTTTTGAGTTGGGCAAGTAGGCCAACTGCCTGCAAGGTATGGAGTCTGTGAGTGCAGAGGCCGACAGAGCACAGGGCTGGGGTGCAGCAGGTGTGGGTCCTGTCCTCAAAAGATGCCTCGGGGTGCTCTGTGAGTAGACTCAGCAGAGGTAATGAGAAGGGCCTGGATGAGTGAGTCAACAGAACATGACGATGGATTTTGTGTAGAAAATAGGAGAAAGAAAGAAATCAAGGATGTTTCAGTTTTCTGGCCCAGGCAAGTTGGTGAATGTTGGCCCATTTAATAAGACTGAAAATGCTAAAGAAAAACAGGGTTTAGAGGAGATTAAGTATGATGCTTGGAAGGTCTTGTAGTCATCCAACTCATGATGACAGGTGGGTATTTGGATAAACCAGCCTACAGAAGCTCGGGCTGCAGATGTGAATGTGAGAATGGCCAACTTTTCCAAGATACCTACAGCCAAGGAACTGAATGGGATTGCCTAGAAAGGGGGATAGAGAGAGGAGGGTCTATCACAGGGCCCTGGAGTACTCCAACACTTGGAAAGGTGGGGGAGAGGAGGAAGATCCCCAATGAACCAGGGCATTCGTATGAGGATGCACATCGGCCAGTTTATGCCAGGGGAAGGAGGGGGAGAAGAGCAGGGGAGGAAGTGAAATTGATGATGCAGACAGAGAAAATCGCAGGCACTATGGCCCTTCATAGGGAGGAGTGACCTGCACTCCCTGGGGGAAGCAGGAAGAGTGAAAGAGCACTGAGAAGAGAACTGACATGCAAAAGAGGCTCAGAGGAAGGGGTGCCCACAAGGACACAGAGAAGTGAGTGCAGAAGTTGAAGGAGAGGACAGGAACGCAGGTTGGAAAAGGAGAAAGGGTCTCAAAGAGGGCATGGCCAACAGTGCCGATGCTGTTGAGAGGTAAAGTAGATTAAACACTCAATTGTGCCCAGTGAATTTAGGCTCAAGGGTGTCACTGGTGACTTAGGCCAAAGCAGTTTGAGTGGAATGATTGCAACAGAAATAAGACTCCATGGCAGGTGAGGGGGTGGAGGAAATGAGCACAGAGGACTCTGTTTAAGAATTTGGCTGGGAAAGAAGGAGAATGGGTGAGGCAGGGATGGGAGGAAGAGGCTGTTTTCTCTGTTTTAAGACAATGAGACTGAGCATACTGAGCATGGGTAAATCCTGATGGGAAGGAGAGAGAAAGAAAGAAAGAGAAAGAGTGAGATAAAGACACAGGACAGAGATGGTATAACTGAAGTAAGGTCCCTGAGAGGTAAGAGTGGATAACATCGAGAATAAAAGCCCTGATTTTCCTTTATCAGGAGATGGGACACCTTCAGGAGGAAGTTTGACAGTGGACGCAAATTGAAAGTTTGTGGCAGGAAGCTAAAGGATAAGATTATTACTAAGAGCGGCACTCTCTTTTATTTTGAAACAAACCAGGAGTTTAAGGATGGAGGGGGCAGGCTCAGATCTACTTGACTTGTACAGTTTCTCAGGTGGAGTCTTCTTTCTGTTGGATTGCTCAGGCAGATAGCATCAAAAAGAAACCTTGGAGGAGAAGACCAGGATGGGGACTCAAGTCTTCAAGGGATTAGCAGGGTTGGTGAGGAAGAAAAGGCACCCAGGCAAATACAGATTAATCAAGGACCGGCGTTTTACTAACACCTGAAACCTGATGTCACAGCCATTCTGGGGACAAGCTTATCACATGGAAACTTGAGTTCCTCGACTTGTGGAGGAACTTTGAAGGGGGAGATCCAAAACATTTAGATCAAACTGTGGCCACACACTCACATCTTCAGCAAGCTGGCCTTCAGATTTCTCCATGCAAATAATGATTTTTATTCTCATCTTTTAGTGAAAGACACTAATCTCAAGCCAGACATTCTGGATCCCATCCAGGACACACTGGAAGTAGAACTTGGTAAGCTGGGCTTTATCATCCTCGAATGACATGTGCGTCTGAGAGCAGGTCTGAGTGTGATATAAGGAAGAGAGCATCAGCCTTTCCAGTCAAAAACAGAACTGGGTGTGAATCTTGACTCAGCCTCTGACTAGTTTTGTGACCTTGCATGTGTACTTAATCCTTCTAAACCTCAGTCTTTAAATCTGCAAATAAACTCTGGGAGGCCGAGAAGGGAGGATTGCTTGAGCTCAGGAGTTCGAGACCAGCCTGAGTGAGAGCGAGACCCCGTTTCTTCTAAAAATAGAAAGAAATTAATTGGCCAACTACAAATATATAGAAAAAATTAGCCAGGCATGATGGCGCATGCCTGTAGTCCCAGCTACTCGGGAGGCTGAGGCAGAAGGATTGCTTGAGCCAAGGAGTCTGAGGTTGCTGTGAGCTAGGCTGACGCCACGGCACTCTAGCCTGGACAGTAGAGTGAGACTCTGTCTCAAAAAAATCAATCAATCTGCAAATAAGTATCAAAACACTGATCTTACAAGGTTGCATTGAGAAACAATGGGACAATGTATGCTAAGTGGCTGGTGCATTGGATGTGACTGATAGAATTTAGATTCTTTCTTAACTCTCTACGGGAACAGATGGTTGGTTATGTATACTGGCTAGGTCCGTTGAGTACATCTGTAAATGTACCAACTTGAGTAGCATTAACCCTTACAACTATGATGTTTGGTCTGGCCTTTAAAAGCATTGCAGTGGAATACTACAAGCTCTGCTTAAACAATTTGCATTCCAAAATAGTGTCTTCTGCTGGGCAGAGGGGAAAGTGACTTCCCTGTGGTCTCCTTTCATTCTATCACTTTCAATAACATCTATATCTTTCCACACAGCCAAATAAGAATTGCTCTATTTAAAACCAATTGCCAGCTGTTTCACTTAAATAAGTATTCTTTTACCTGCTAATAAAAGATTTATTTTTATAGAAATAAATGTAAAAGTATATATTATGGTGTAAGATCAGTAGGTGGCAGTAGTGGCCTATCTTGATTACAGAAATTGCAGTAGCCATATGGGCAACATCATAAGAATGGAAGGAGGGAGAAAGGAGGAAAAAATAAATTAATTTGAAATAGTCAAGTTAAATATGGTATTAGTGAATTTAAGGTATCACTGCTTAAAAAACATTAAGGTGCAACGATGATTTTTCAAATGGAGTTCCTAACCGTTTCCTGGTTAGATAGTAAGTGTGAGTCAGAGCATACCTGGGTAACTCTTGTGGAGAAAATGGGTAGAAAGAAGAAAATCTAATAACATGCATGCTCGTCCCTAGGGCATTGTTCAGAAAAGCATCTGAATATCTAAAGAATTTTTTTTCTTTAAACTACATGCTACAATAACCTCATGATTTTCATTTAATATAGAAATATTGGTTAGAGAAAGGTTTTCTATTGATGTACCTTGTCCTTCAATGGTTCTATTAAAAATAGAGCTGGTCACTGAGGCTGCTCGTTTACTTAGTGTCTCTATCAAGACTTCTAGTGATACGACCGTGCTCATCTTCATTTTAGGAACATACCGTTACATGGTTGAGATAACAAAATCGCTCATTAAAGACAAAGATACCTGGTTTTGTGTGTTCCTGAGTGAGAGCGATGTAGGTGCTTCATTATTTCTGACACAACTGTTCTACCCATAACCCTGACCGTCTGCAAATGGTTTTCTGGGCAAGTCTTCCTCCCCCACACAGGCCAAAGTGTTCTCATCACTGCCTTCCTGTTTTCTCTGGCCTCTGCATTTTCAGGAAAGCCATTAACCATTAGCTGCAGAGCACGATTTGGCTTCGAAAGGGTCTTTAAGCCTGTGATAAGATGGTACATCAAAGACCCTGACCGGGAGTGGGAAGTCTCGGCACCTGAGGCCAAAAGGTGAGAAAACTCTTGGACTCTATTCCCTGTAACTCAGAGGAGAAGCTTGCACCTTTAGAAACTTCTAAAATACACACACAGAGTCTATGGTGTAGCCAACAGCACCAATTAGTGGTGAAAATAAAAGTACAGAAATGCAAAGTGAAAAGGGCCATGAAATGAAATATTTAAGTTGTGTTAAAGCTCAATGTGTAGCAACAGTGTGATTTGGCTGCTATAAAAGTCAAGCTATGAAGCAGACAGACATACTGGCCTAGGCTTTAAGAGAAGTAGCACGCCCGACAAATGGGAAAGAAAGCTCCAGCTCCCATGTCGCTTGTGCTATCCACTCAGAACATGTGGTGAATTCAGGGTCCCGGATGCGTGGAGCAGTGTAGAAAGTGTCCGAGGGAAGTGGCACTATTATAAGGAGCCTGGAAAAAAAAAATATGTGAAGTGAATGAGGCACAGTTGAAACAACTTAACCTGGAAAAGGAGACCGAGAAGTCGTCTCTCTGTCTTGACCTACTTGGGGCTATCATGTATTATGAGAAATTAGACTCAGTTTGTTGCTCCCTGGAGCACAAAACTCAGTTCAGTGGTCAGAATCAGTGGTGAGAGGTTTTGACCAATACGAAAGAAAACTATAGACATTCGGAGCTAACCAGTGTCTCAAAAAGTTGGACTCCAGTCCCCAGAGGGGACAAGGGGCTTGGGTCCCATCATCCCCAATCAGACATGTAGCTAAAGGATACATTCTCTCATTTTTCCAAGATCTCACCCAAACTAGGAGTCTATGCATTAAGTACCTTCTCCGGATTTTTGGAACATTTCAATGAACAAATATGACATCATTTTGAAAAGTACACATCATTACAAAACATAAAGGACAGATTTTGATAACAAAAATAAAATTTGGTGAGAACTTCTAAGTTCAGGAAAGTCATTGGCGCCTATCTTAACCTGACATTACATTGAAGTTCGGAGTAGGAGAGTATGGCAAGGAGAGTATACTTTGATGTCATCCACACTTGGGTTTGAGTTTCTTCTCTATCTAGTAGCAATGTGACCCTTCATCCTGGCGAGACTCCATCGCCCCATCCATAATCCATGGATAGCAACGTCCATAGTGCAAGGTCACTTACGGGGCAGATACAGGAGGGGTGATGTGCTTATCACAGTCAGAGCAACACAGCCTAAAACATTATCCCCATAAACATGATTTCTTAACATGAAGACACATTGTAGACTGGCAAAATTGTGAGCAAACTCCAAGACTCACAACTCCGTAGATGGGGCAGAACGGCACAGGCCCTGGAGTCAGGCTGCCACTCCCCAGCGGTGTGACCGGGGCTGCTCACTCACCTTCTTTGCCTTTGCATGTCACTGGCTAAGTTGGGATGATCATATTATTATTCTGTAAGGTTCCTGGGAGGTGAGGAGTATAGGAGATTAGAAAGTCCATATTCACTACTCAGAGGAGTGCCCAGTGCATAGTAAACCCTCAGTAGGAATTAGCCATTTTTAATATTATTCTTACAGTATTGTTATTATCTGTTCTCATGGGGAATTCTTAGAGTAAGGAAGGTCAGATGAGACCCCCAAGGAAATTACATCTTAGTGCAAATGCTTAGTACAGTCAACAATTGAATCAAAAATGAGCCCTCTTTGACCATCTTACATTCTTCTGGATCTTTTTATACTATAGATCTCACAGTTCTTCTGAAACCCAAACTGGTGGCTGTTTATAAGGGTTCCAAATGCTGCACGTGGATGTATTTTATGTAATTAAATGGGCGTGGTGTTTTCTTCTTCTCTCTTTTCCCAGTATTAAATCCACTCTAAAAGATGAAATCATTGAGCGTGATATAATCTTGGAGGAAGTTACTCAGAGTGATCTTCGCAGGAAGTTTGTTTGCTTTGCCCAGAACTCCATCGGGAACACAACCCAGTCCATCCAACTGAAGGAAAAGAAAGGAGGTATGCCTGGAAGTTTGTCCCAGAATATATGCAACCGCTTTTACTTAATAAGGGAGGAACTTTCCTAAAGAATAGTAGTAATGATGATGGCAATTAACATTCTCCAGAAGCAGACATTGTTCTCAGTGCTTTGTTTGTGTTAACCCATTTGATACCTTGACAAAGCCAGATGACAGTAAATTGCATATTAGTGGTCCAGAACTGGTCCTCTTTTTTTTTTTTTTTTTGAGACAGAGTCTCACTTTGTTGCCCAGGCTAGAGTGAGTGCCGTGGCATCAGCCTAGCTCACAGCAACCTCAAACTCCTGGCTCAAGCGATCCTCCTGCCTCAGCCTCCCAAGTAGCTGGGACTACAGGCATGCACCACCATGCCCGGCTAATTTTTTCTATATATATTAGTTGGCCAATTAATTTCTTTCTGTTTATAGTAGAGACAGGGTCTCACTCTTGCTCAGGCTGGTTTCGAACTCCTGACCTCAAGCAATCCGCCCGCCTCGGCCTCCCAGAGAGCTAGGATTACAGGCGTGAGCCACCGCGCCCGGCCTCAGAACTGGTCCTCTTAACTAATACTCTGCATATGGGGGTTGTGTTGGAAAAGCCAATCATTCATTCACTCACTCATTCATTCATTCTACCTACAGGGCATGCCCTGTGTGGCAGGCATTGTGCTAAGACCTAGCTCCCTTTCTTATTTTCCTTTCCTGGCTTCCAAATCCAGAGAACGTGATGGATTCATGTTCTGGATGGAGAACGGAGGCGAGAAAGAGTAATCGTGCTCAGTGTTCAGAATGATATGTGTATGTCACAGACCATAGCCTTTTAAAAAGCTGGAGTAGAAATTCCAGGTGTGAAATAGCTTTTACACATTGCTTTAAGAAGATGCCCAGAGATGAGAGTTGATATCATTCATTCATTCATTCACTCATCCAATTAATAGTTGACTATAGTGCAAGCAGGTTTGAATGTGTGTGAGGCTCAAGCCAGACGGAAATGTGCTCCTGGGCTGTAGTGGATACTTTATGGAGGTGGCTTCCCTCATTGGGGGTGTGAAGGGGAGCCCTGTGTTGGGTACCAGGGAGGGTGCAAAGGTAGGCTACATGTGACTCCAGGTCTCAGGAAGTTTAAACTTAGTAGGGATGACAATCCACGAAAATAAGTATTACAGTATGCAGTGCGAGAGATGCAAATGGATTGCGTGGAAGCGTATAGGGGAAAAATAAATAAACTGGCTACAATGTATTCCCCAGGTCACGCTGATCAGGAATTGCCCATTGCCCTGGATCTAGAGTTTGTTAGAAGATAGTCTTCAAGATGTGATTTAAAACATTCCCAGGTTCGAAAGAACTGCTGCCAGTGGCAGTGATTTTGATAAAACGATGGGGCAGGAGAGGGTGCTGGGCGGGCCACGCTATGGCCTGAGTGGGCTCGGCCCGGGACTGCTGCCTCCGCACCTGCTCACGGCCGCTGTGTTTCCCCAGTGCTGTTCCTGTACCTCCTGCTTGGCACCGTCGGGGCGCTGGTGGGCATGCTGGCCGCGGGCGCGCTGCTCTACAGGCACTGGATTGAAATAGTGCTGCTGTACCGAACCTACCAGAGCAAGGACGAGACGCTCGGGGGTAAGGTCACCCCACCAAGGACCCTCTGCCTTGCCCTCTCGTAATTGACTTAGAGCAGGACAATAGAAAATGCCATCACTGCCCCTTGACTTTGTTTCCCTGGAGTTATCTTAGGTGAGAAAACTTCAGGTGCCTCCTGCCAGCCAGGGGAGAGCTTATGGGAGGACCTCAAGAAAGAGGGGCTCCCTGGTGGATAAAGTCACGCCCCTGAGGTGTTGAGACCTTCCTCCAAGTCTGGTGGCTTCACACTGGGGAAGGCTGGAGAAACGATGGTTTTTTTCATTCCAGTTGCCAGGAATCTTGCATACAATGCTATTTGTGAGTCATGTTGGACTTGAGAATAATCTCTCTGCTAACCAACCTAAAGCAAGATGTGCAAACAACTTAACAAGCCTGTGCCTTAGTTTCCTCATTCATAAACTAAAACTGTAATAGTATCAATCACAAAGGATGCTGTGAGGGCTCACTGACTTATTAGTAAGACATATTAAGCGTTTAGAATGGCACCTAGCACATAGTAAGCACTCAGCACGTGCCAGCTATTGCTGTTAATAGTTTTTGAGGACTAGAGCATATATGCCCATTGTGGCTATTAGCTACTTTAATTTTCACAGCAATCCACTAAACCAGGCAGAGAGAGATGAAGTCACGTGCCCCAGTTTGAATCACTGTAAGGCGTTAGAGCTTGGGATTCAGGCCCAGGTCATCTGGCTGAAGAGTTCCCATCAGCTATTACTTCCGTTAGCCTCATCTGTACAATGAGAAGCTTTAGGATGGTGGAAGTGCTGCCCAAAGTGGGAAATCCTGCAAAATGCAAATACTATTACTATTTATAAAGTATCTGTCCATTTTCCCATGAGATAGGATAATCATGTTCATTAATGTTTGCTTCTTTAGAATAGAAAAGCTACTTCTATTTTTTTCTAATCCTGGAATTTTCTAAGGCTAGAATGTTTACAGTTTTAGTAAATGATTCTGTTGCTTGCAAAGAGTGCAATCCCCTTCTGCTGGATTTCATGGATAATTATTTATCTCACTGGGAGGCCTCTCCAAACTCTAGTGCTTTCTCCACACTAGGAATTCAGTGAGGAGCTGTCAGATCCCTGGGGAAAGGGCTAGTAAAGAAATGCATCAGCTATATCTTTCTTTAGACTAATTACTGAGAATACATACTAGAAATCCTTAAGCCAAAAGTGTTTTTAAGATTTATTTTTTTAAAAAATTAGTTTTTTCAAATGGAGCAAATTATTGAATCCATGTCTTACTCGTTTCCCTAGGCAACGTCATAGGTCTTTTACTGAAATGCTATTCACCTTAAGATTCTAGAGCTTGTGTAGAAGACTCAGTCAACTGTGAAAGATTTCAATGTGTCCTTTCTCTTTCTACTTTGCAAAGACAAAACAGTAATCAGATCTGGAGGAAGAACTGGGTTTTTAAGCATAGTGGTACAGTGCTCTCTGCTGGACAACATGACATTTTGCAGCAAAATGATTGCTTTGAGGTTAATGCTGAATATCTAAAATTTTAAACAGACATAGAATGTTAGAGTTGTGGAGGACCGAGAAGGACAAATAATACTCCACTCTCTAATTTTATGACTAAAGACATTTAGTTTCCAAATTATAGAAAAATAATAGTTTTCTGGGGTTTCACATGATATGGAAGGAATATAGGCAACTCTGGTGTGTGATGCATTTACACTGCAAAGCACTTGCACTTACCTGCCAGCTGCACCCCTCGAGTTTCTCCTTCGCACCTGCACGATCAGGTGCTCCACAGATTAACATCTCGACCTCACCCGGGCTCTTTGGCGTCCTCCTCTCTTGACTCTTGGACCTTACTTTTGGGTAGCTGCACTTGCATCTTCCTAGGCCTTTTTTCAGATCCAACTTGAGCAGATAATATTGCTAAATAGCATCAGACACCAGTGCTATTGTTTACCATTTTGTAACAACCCTTGACAGGGGTCATGGGAAGTGCTGGGATATGAACCCCGTGTGTCCTATTCCAAACTGAAGTCCAGTGTGTTAACCTCTGGAATTTTCTACTTCCAGTTAGCTCCTTAGCATGTCCCAGTAATCAATGTGCATTTGTAATAGTATTGTCAACACAGGCATATGAAATCCTTAACACACCCTATAACAAATTCTATAAATATAGTTTCCCATTAGAAGGGAGGGGAATGGACATTTATCTTGTGCCGGCTATGAGCCAGACACTAAGTACTTCATATACATTCGTTATCTTATGCAACCCTTAAAACAGTCCGCTGGGGAGTTAATGTTACCTTCATTTTACATATGGGGATTCAAACATAGGTGTATGAGCTATCAGCTCTCCACGGAGGTATTTTTTTTCTCCTACGGATGCAATGTGTTGGGTGTTAGCAGTATTTTGCTCACTGGATCTTATCATGCTTTGAAAGCACAGTCTCCTCTTTGATGTGTAACTAATGAGACAGAAACACTGCAGATGCAAAGGAGGCTCAGAGGAACTCCCGTGTACATGAGATTTAATCATCGAAGGTCACAGCTGTTTGATGTAACCTCAGTGATGATGCAGGAGTGCTTCATAAATTAGAACTCGATTGTGGGTGGACAGTCAATACCACTCAGTGGTGCCATTTTGAAATGGACACAGCTGCTGCTGTTAATTTTTCGAATCAATTTTGTGAGTTCTCAAATCTGATTTCTTATCCATTTACCATATGTTTCAAGCACATGTATGTGTACCATGATAGTAAAAAATTGTAAATGGCTCACTTTTTTCATCGTTCCTCTTCCTCAGATAAAAAGGAATTCGACGCTTTCATATCCTACGCGAAATGGAGCTCTTTTGAGAGTGAGGCTGCGTCATCTCTGGGTGAAGAACATTTGGCCCTGAATCTGTTTCCTGAGGTTTTGGAAAACACATATGGCTACACCTTGTGTTTGCTCGAAAGAGACGTGGCCCCAGGAGGAGGTAGGTCTTGCATGCCAAGAAAAAATACAGCATAAAAAGGGCAGTTAAATGCAAGCTCTTTCTAAGTGTTTTCTGTTGTTCTTCCTTTTGGGATATACATCGTTTTGTGAGGTTTCATGAACTTAGAACATCTTGGGCAACAACACAGAAAAACATGTATTCAAGTGACATGTACCATCGTCATCAAAAAATAATAATCCACCGTCAGAAGACAATAATAATGTGGGGTCCTAGGAAGACCTTCCAAAACAAAGAAATCTTTCCTGGCTTTGCAGCAGGAGGTTGTCTCTGTTGTCCCAAACAGGTACCCCTCCCCCCCACATACACACCTGCACTCCCTGATTTCTGGGACTCTGCCCTCCACAAACCTCAGCATTGTTTGAGCAGGCTCCTCAGGCCTGGGCCCAGTCCTGGCCACCATGAGACATCCAGACCTTGGGCTGTCCTGGCCTCCCTGGCCTCATATACTCCCACCAAAGAGTCTGGGACATTCCAGGACCCCTGTTACTCCAACTTACCTAGTTCCAACGTGCTTTGCTCCTAGAGGAATTGACAATATGGGGAGTCAGATCACAAAGGGAGGAATGTAAAACTGAGGGTCACCAGACACTAGAGTATATCTTCAATTATCGATAGAGTTGATACATCAAAAGTGATAGTGTAAACATGTCTCCTTTCCTCCTCATGTAAGAGTACTTATTACAACGAACTCCCTGGATAGATCTGGGAGAGTCAATGTCATTGTGACTCACGGTTTAACAATTTCAATTGACAATACTTAAATTCTTTATTTCCAGTCTACACAGAAGACATTGTGAGCATTATTAAGAAAAGTAGAAGAGGAATATTTATCTTGAGCCCCAACTACATCAATGGACCCTCCGTCTTCGAACTACAAGCAGCTGTGAATCTTGCCTTGGCTGATCAAACACTGAAACTCATTTTAATTAAGTTCTGTTGCTTCCAAGAGCCAGAGTCTCTACCTCATCTTGTGAAAAAAGCTCTCAGGGTTTTGCCCACGATCACCTGGAGAGGCTTAAAATCAGTTCCTCCCAGTTCCAGGTTCTGGACCGAAATGCGCTACCACATGCCCGTGAAAAACTCTAAAGGATTCACGTGGAACCAGCTCAGGATTATCCCAGGGGTTTCTTGCTGGGAAAGACTCAGTAAAACAGAAGCCACTGGGAGGAGCTCCCAGCCCAGCAAACGGTGGAGCCACCTCCCTTCCAGTCCCAGGGACAGAGATATTGCTGGGCAGAACACACAGCACGGATCAGGCTGATAGGAAATTGAAACAGTTTTCCGACAGCCACAAACAAGCCTGAGAGACACTGAGACGAGACTGAGGCTGTGGTTTGGAGCCTTTGATTTCCTGGACTGGACAAAGGGAGAGTAAATCCCCTAGACCTTGTGTACACTCAGCACACAACACGCCTGAGATCTTCCCAGTGGTCTGAGCAGAATCAGCAGGTGCAGCTGCCTGGTGGCCATGGACTGCCACATCTACCCTGTATTATACATATGACTTTATGTACACTTGCTGTCAAATAAATATTTTTATTAGAAATGGGTGATTTAAACTCTGCCTAAAGCATTTCTGTAAAGAAGGCAGTTTTTATTCCATGTTCTCCCATCACCTCTGGAGCATAAAAAGTAAGTGTCAAAGATGGAGACGTATGGGACACAGAGTAGACAGGGCTGTTGTTAGTTTCTACTATGTCCTTACAGGAGGTGCTGCCTGTGGGTGGAAGGGCTGATGTAGTCTGTGCCAGGATATAGGCTTGGGGAGAAGCATAGGGTTAATCTTAGTTCCTCCTTGTGATGTTGGTCAGAGACCTTTGTTCTGGACATAAAGTATGCAGCCTCACCCTGGACCACTGGAAATAAGAGCCAATTAAGCCAAAATTATTAGGCCAGTGAGGAGACAGGGAATGTGTGAGCAGTTCCATACAACTTAGAGAGGCATTGGCAAGAGTCAACAGCCACGCTAAGAGTCTGAGAAATCAATGCACACACTGGTTAAAAGGCAGCGAGAGTGGAGCTTGAACAGGCTTTAGCCTGAGCCATTTGCGTACTGTGTGCTTCCTGACCTAGTGGTCTCAGTCTCAGCCCCCCTAAGTAATGGAGTGATGGGCTGGAGGGCTAGACAAGGCTAATTTCACTCTCATAATTTTGTGTTCTTTACAAGAGTTCAACCTGCGGTTAAAATAGTGTTCTAGTCACACATGGACATCAAACCCTCACGCTCTGTCCTCCCTGATGGGATGGAGTGATTCATCTTTTGAGCAATACAGAAAAGCAACTTTTGGACTCATTCACATGTAATGGGTCACATCCACGCAATGTGATCAAGTTCAGAGTGGCTAAATGTCACGGCCATCTGGCCACTCCTGGTGCCTGTGCGAAACGCTCTTCTGCTCATTCTTCGCAGAGGCACCCACATCATAAAAACCACGGTGGCTTTGGCACCAAGCAACATCCTTGTTGGAAATTTCAGTGATAGAGTTAACGATGAGTTAAAGGGTATAAATTATTCCTGGAGGAAGTTTCTGGTGGGAAGGATCATTGCAGGGTGTCAGTGGGGAGGAACCCACACTGTCATTGTGCCTTTGTGCCCCGGTGATGGCCAGGATCCCTGGCTTTTCTGCCAGCTGCTCTCTGAGATTTAAGGCTCAGAAATTTCTGTTGGCCAGTCCATTCAGGTTTATCTTATTCTCAGATAGATGTTACTGTAACTGTGCTCTCCAGAGGTCTAGAGTTTTGTCCTTAGCTTTATAGGAAATCAAACTGAGCCTCAGGTTCATGCATACACAAAAGGATATATATCTAGCTCTGATATTTACAGGATATAGTCTTTCCAGGTTAGTAGGTACCCTGAACATGATAAATTAGCATTCAGAACAAAGGTTATTTATATTTCTTACATGTAAGTCAACCAAAACAAAGCAGATAACCAAAACAAGTGTTCTATGTATAAGAGACTGGTTGTAATCAAACAATTGGATGCAGTGGAATATAATTAGTAAAAAAGTATTATTATTATGAGGTTCTCTTTCACTTTGAAAAAGTGTGGATGATGAAAAGTTTGGATGATGGCCAGCCTATTTCTAATACACACTGTAGAGTCCTCCTTCCTGACCCTACATAATAGCCTCGGCATTTTTCACAGTTTTCCCAGTCTCTGTTAGTTTTTAATATCTGCATTTAACCTATCTGTTAGTTCCAGGTTGTAATTCCAGGTAAGATGCAGTAAACACACATCATCCTGTCTCTTCCTCATATTTCAGCTACAAAACCTGTACAAAATGCATAAAAAATCAATGTGAGGATTCTAAAAAGTAAATAAAAGCCAGAAGAATGCAGAAAACAAGAATTCAAAATTCCACAATTTAATTTTCCTCAAATTTCTCTTGACTTAACCTTAGTACAGTTTGAAACCCAGAAATAGACCTCAGTGATAACAGAAATTGCTCCAGAAGAAGCCCTCTGGGTCTAGCCTGAAGACTAGGAAAGGGATTTCCTAACTCTCCTGCATTTTCTTTTCTATGTTCTCTCACTGCCCAGCCCCTAAACAATCCTGTGGTAGCAGCAGTGGCACCAACAAAAGCAGTGGCAACAGAGGTCCTCAAGGGCCTACATCTCTGAGGAGGGGGCATTGTCCACTATGATGGAAGGAGCTGTGGTCCCAAGAGGCTGTGGCAAACTTCTATTGTTTTTTTTCTCTCTTCGTGTCCTTTTACCATTTGGTTACACAGGTGGACATAGTTAGGAGAAGTGCATTGTACAGTGGGGTAAATAAAGCCCCAATACCCTGGCCAGAGAACTGCACAGAACTATACAGGAGAGAGGAGGCTTATGGAATCAGAAAGTGCTGTGGAGATGGCAGACAGAGAAGAGCTCAGGAAAATGAACCCATAAAGCAGTTGATAAACTCCTGGGCTCATCCCCATATATGATTCTGACTTTAAAATGGAATACTACAAACTTTGAGAATTGAACTATAGGATAGAGCACTTCTGAGTCCCAGACTGGCCACTGTAAGGGGGTATATGTATATATAGTAGGTCCATATAGGACTGAAAGGCAGTCAAGTAGAACTGACATTGAAACCACAAGTCCGCTTAAAGTTTGGGGCCTTAATCCCACTGGATCAACTGCCTGCTGAAACAAAAATTATATTCTACATAGGATTTCAATAAGACTCAGAATTGTATGACATAATAATTAAAACATTCAGGAGGCAATCTTTTGAAAGCAAAATATAACATTTTCTCATAGCATTTTCAAGGTAGGTAGATGTAATATGTAAGTTATCTACGACATAAAGGAGAGAGGGTAGGGAGACTTTTATGATAGTAAGGTATCTACATATCACTTGAAGTGGTAAAATACTGATTCTAAGTAGAATGTGAAAATAATAGTATGTTATATTTTAATTCATTGGGCAACCACAAAAACAAACAAGCAAAAAAACCAAATGGTGTTAAAACATGATAGACAATGGAATATTATTCAGCCTTTAAAAAGAAGGAATTGGTGCGATATGCTACAACATGGGTGAACTTGAGAACATTATTATAGGTGAAATAAGCCAGACACATAAAGGCAAATACTGCATGATTCCACTTATATGAGGTATCTAAAATAGTTAAATTCATAAAATCAAAGACTGAAATGGTAGAGACTGGAGAGAATCCAGAGACTGGAGGCCAGAGGAAATGAAGAGTTATTAATCAACAGACATATCAGTTAAGTAAGATAAATAAACTCTAGAAATCTGCTGTGCAACATTGTACCTACAGTCAACAATAATGCATGGTACACCTAACATTTATTAAAAGGATAAATCTCATGTTAAGTGTTTTTACCACTTTAATTATTCCATTTAAAAAAAACCCCACATTTTTAAATAGAATAATAAAAATGTTTAAATAACCCCAAAGAAAAGAGAAACAAAAGAACAAAAAAACTGAGGAAATAAACAGAAATCAAATAATAAAACTGTAGACAAAAATCCAAACAATAATTATATGAAATATAAAATATCTAAACACAATAATTAAAAGACAGAGATTAACATTATTGATTTTTTAAATGACTCAACCTTATTTTTATTAGAGATATCTCCTTACAATAAACATACTTCAAATATAATGACAAAGGAAGGGTAACAGTAAAATTTTAGATACAAATACATTACATGAACATTGATTAAAAGAAAGCTCTAGAGTGCCTATGTGAACATCAGCTAAAGCAGACTTCAGAGCAAAAAAATTTACCAGGGATAAAGATAAATATTACATTATGATAAAAGGATAAATTTACCAAGAAGTCATAACAATCTTAAATGTGTGTGCACCTAACGAAAGTGCTTTGAAAATACATGAAGGAAAAATGTACAAAACTGAAAGGAGAAATAGAAAAATCCACAATTACAGTTGGAGACTTCAACATTCTTCTCTCAGGTATTGGTAAAACTGGTAAACAGAAATTTAGCAAGGATGTGGAAGAACTGAACACCACCACGGACCTGGTGTTTTTCTGGACCTGCTTGACAATTGTAGGATTCTCCACTGAACAACAGCAGAATACACATTGTTCTGATGTGCGCATAGAACATTCGCCAAGATAAACCATATCCTAGATTGTAAGATAGACATTAACAAAAATTTAAAAATTGAAGTTATACAAACTATGTTCACTATTTATAATGAATTTACACTAGAAATTATTAACAGAAAGATGACAGAAAAATCTGAAAACTCTTAGAAATTAAACAACACATTTCTAAATAATCCATAGATAAAAGAGGAAGTCTCAAAGGAAATGAAATAACATTTTTAAATGAGTGGAAATAGATATACAACATATCAAAATTTGCTGGGTGAGACTACAGCCATGCTTAGCAGGAAGTATATAGTATTAAATACTTATAAAAGAAAAAATAGGCCGGGCGCGGTGGCTTACGTCTGTAATCCTAGCACTCTGGGAGGCCAAGGCGGGTGGATTGCTTGAGGTCAGGAGTTCGAAACCAGCCTGAGCAAGAGCGAGACCCTGTCTCTACTATAAATAGAAAGAAATTAATTGGCAAACTAATATATATAGAAAAAATTAGCCAGGTATGGTGTCACATGCCTGTAGTCCCAGCTACTCGGAAGGCTGAGGCAGAAGGATTGCTTGAGCCCAGGAGTTTGAGGTTGCTGTGAGCTAGGCTGACACCACAGCACTCACTCTCGCCTGGGCAACAGAGCGAGACTCTGTCTCAAAAAAAAAAAAAAGGAAAAATATCTTAAATTAATAATCTAAACTTCCACATTAGAAAGTATGAGCTAGGAAATAATAAAGATAAGAACAGAAATTAATTCCAATGACTATAAGAAAACAATAAAGAAAATCAATATCACCAAAAGCTTGTTGTTTGAAAAGATCAATAAAATTGAAAAACCCCTAGAAAGACTGACCAAAAAAAAAAAAAAGAAAGAAAGGAAGGCACAAATAACCAATATTGGGAATGGAAGAAGAGCACTACAGAGTGCTCACATGTTAAAATGATAATAAAATACTATGAATACTATATGGATACATATCTGACTACTTAAATGAAATAGACAAATTCTCAAAAAACCACAAACTACAAAAACTCAACCAAGATGAAATATATAATTTGACTTGGCCATAACTATTAAAGACATTGAATTCATATTTTTAAATTTCCAAAAATGAAATCTCCAAATCCAGATAGTCTCACTATCTAATTCTACTAAACATTTGAAGGAAACAAAAACCAAAAAACAATTGTACACAATTTCTACCAGGAAACAGAAGAGGAAGGGACACCTCCCAAGTAATTTTATGAGGCCAGAATTTTTCTAATACCAAAACCAGACAAAAAAATACAGATCAATATTTTTCACAACATTGACACAGAAATATTCAAGAGAATGTTAGCCAATTGGGTCTAGCAATAATAACACACCATAATGAAGTTGAGCTTATCCTGGGTGTGCAAGGCTATTTTAATATTTCAATGTAATCCTCTATATCTCTGGTCCCAGACTCCTGGGTGGAGGACCAGTACCTGTCCATGGCCTGTTAAGACAGGCCACATGGCAGGAGGTGAGTGGTGAGCAAGTGAAGCTCCATCTGTATTTACAGCCGTTCCCCATCACTGTATCACCCCCTGAGCTCCGCCTCCTGTCAGACCAGCATCAGCATTAGATTCTCATAGAAGCACAGACCCTGCTGTAAACTGTGCATATGTGGAATCTAGGTTGCACGCTCCTTATGAGAATCTAATGCCTGATGATCTGTGACGGAGCTGATGTGGTGCTGTTAGTGCTGGGGAGTGGTTGCAAATATAATAAATGTAATGCACTTGACACATCCTGAAACCACAACCCCCTACCTCTGGTCTGTAGAAAAACTGTCTTCCATGAAACTGGTCCCTGGTGCCAAAAAGGTTGGGGACTGCTGTTCTATATTAATGGTCTAAAGAACAACCACATGATCACATCAACTGATTCCAAAGAAACATTTGAAAAAATTCACCAGCCATTCATCCATTCAAACAAAAACACTATAGATAAAAATCATACTTAATGGTGAAAGACTATATGCTCTCTCTATAAGACTTGGAAAAGAGCAACAATATTCAATCTTCCAATACTGTAGAACCTTGTATAAAAGTTTTCACCAATGAAATAAGGCAAGAAAAAGAAATTAAACGCATGCAGTTTGGAAAGAAAGAAAGAAATCTCTCCTTATTCCTGCAAATTGATTTTCTCTGTAGAAAATCCAAGAAAGTTACAAAAAAATTCCTAGAACTAATACGTGAGTTCAGCAAGTTCTCAGGATACAAGATTAACTTGTAAAAATTGAACATATTTCTATTTGTTCAATTAGTGACAAACAATTGAAAACTAAAAGTTAAAAGGCATAACCAATTATAATACCTCAAAAATGAAAAAGAAAAAATACTTGGTATAAATCAACAGAACATGTGGATATTATATACATTGAAATCTATAAAATGCTTATGAGTAAAATTAAAGAACAATTAAATAAGTGAGGAAGCATAGTATGTTTGGTGACATAAAGATTCAATATATTCTCAAATCAACAATTCTCCCCGAATTGATTTAGATGTTAAACACAATTCCAACCATTAATTTTTATAAATACGGGCAAACTGATTTTAAAATTTATGTAGAAAAGCAAATAAACTAGAATAACCAAAACAATTTGGAAAAGAAATTAAAGTTGGAAGAGTCATACCACTCAATATTATGCATCAATAAAACGTTACAGCAT